TAATTCATAGCCCTAACGCGAATGGCCACGTTAGTAACCGACACCCGGCAGCCCAGTTAGCATACCGCCTCGTGGGAGATGAATCCCCCTGAGGCTTGTGTGAAGTGATTGGGTCATGGAATGGGTTCGACGAAGCTGGACGCCTGCGCGCCCTGAAGTTACAGATGGATTTGGACAGAACGGAGTCCGCGCAATCGTTCAAGCCCAAACCATGGACTGAAGCTCACCGGGGTAAAAGGTCTCGATGAGTTCAACTCTGTGCGGTCGAAGCGGGAAAGAAGGTATCACACCACATGATGCATGCCCTTTGACGCTCCTTTTAAGAATGGTTGCAGCGAGCTGCAAACCTTTCTTGCCAGACGTACCGACTTGGCGGAGCCTTGCGCGAGTAAAGCATGCGCCTTAAAGGGGCAAGCGGACGCGTGTTAATTCCGGCCGTCCCGTCTAATGGGTTACGTCGCATTCTCTACGCTGGATGCAGTGCAATTCATCGTGCGTAGCATGGTGGTGGAGCCCGGTTCTTCAGATCATGCTTTAAAGTAGATGCGATAATAAACTAGGTGGGTGCATTGATTACCCAATTGGATGCATTATTAGGGCGTTTCCGCACACAGGTTTTCTTATACACACACACACACACACACACACACACACACACACACACACACACACACACACACACCAACACACATATGCACGCACAATTATCGACCCCTTGCTGATGTCTCACTCCTGCTGCTCCTTCACCCCACCCACCATCATGTCGCCGTTCCCTGCATCGCCCATTGCGCGATAGAACCACCACGATTTGTGCAAGGGCATCTCGTTCCGGACGGGCGCCCGCACGCGCACCATCTTCGACCACGACTATCTCTTCTGGCTCGGCGACCTCAACTACAGAATAGACCTCTTTGGTGCGTTGCTGCGTGCGTGCGTGCGTGCGTGTGTGTGTGTATGTGTGTGTGTGTGTGTGTGTGTGTGTGTGTGTGTGTGTGTGTGTGTGTGTGTGTGTGTGTGTGTGTGTGTGTGTACATGCGTGTGTGTGTGAACGTCGTGGGCGAGCGAGTGGCATCGGGTAACCTTGTCTCCTCCCCTCGTGTCATCTTGCTCCCAATGTACAGATGCGACGATCAAAGCGGCTGTGCAGAAGATGAATCTGGAAGAGCTGCTGGAACACGACCAGGTGATGTCACCATGATGGGGGCCCATGTGATGCGTTGTGCGCTGATTTTGGCACACAGGGCACGCGCGCGCACCACGTGAACACCCGAAAGCAGATGCGTTCACTCACGCACACACACATACATACACACATACCCGCATATGCCCACTCACACTCCCACACACACACACACTCACATACACATACACACACATTCTCTCTCTCATCAGCTTCGCACGCAGCAGCGAATCGGCGCGGCGTTTACGCATTTTGTGGAGCCGGCGATCGCGTTTGCGCCGACGTACAAATACGACATTGGCACGAGCACCTTTGATACGAGGTGCGACCAGTCAGTGGGCAGCTGTTGCAATGGATTTGTGTGTTTTGGTGCTTGCGATGGGTGCTGCTGTCACCAACATGCACACACCACTGTTGAACGGTGTCGCATCACGCACTTACATACACACACGCACACACATGTACACACACACACACACAAACACACATGTACACACGTACACACACACGTACACACGCACAAAACCACCACCATCACCAGCGAGAAACAGCGGAGTCCCGCGTACTGCGACCGAATTCTGTTCTATCAACCGCCCGACGGCACGCCGCTGTCAAGCCAGGTGTTGTTGTTGTTGGTGGTGGTGGTCTGTGTGTGTGTATGTCTGTGTGTATGTGTATGTGTATGTGTCTGTGTGTCTGTGTGTCTGTGTGTCTGTGTGTATATGTGTGTATATATGTGTGTGTCTGTGTGTCTGTGTGTCTGTGTGTCTGTGTGTGTGTGTTAGCGAGAGGTGTGTTGCACAAGCTGCTACTTTGTTGTTGTTGTCGTGCACTCAAGGCCATGTGTATGTAACTGCATCTGCAGGTGTCGGTCCTTGAGTACACGTCTGCGCACGCCATCACCATCTCCGATCACAAGCCCGTCCGCGGCCGCTTTCGTCTCAACGTGAGCGATTGACCCGCTCATGCATTTGTGGTTGTATGAATGCGTCTGTGCCTGTGCTTGTGCTTGTGCGTGTGTGTGTGTGTGTGTGTGTGTGTGTGTGTGCTTGTGCTTGTGCTTGTGCTTGTACTTGTGCTTGTTCTTGTGCTTGTGCTTGTGTGTGTGTGTGTATGCGTGCTTACCTTTGACCGTCCATGCTCACCTTTCCACCCCCTCACACACGCGACACAACACAACACACAACCCCCCTCCCCTCTCTTCACCAGCTGCGGGTGATCAACGAGGAGCGACGGCGGGCGACGCGCGCTCTCGTCGTGCGCGAACTGGACGTCATCGAGAACAGCGCCCTGCCGGATGTCACCCTCGACTCCCAGGAGGTGGGGTGGTTTGTTCTGCTGTGCTTAAATTGTGTGTGTGTGTGTGTGTGCGTGTGTGTGTGTGTGTGTGTGTGTGTGTGTGTGTGTGTGCGTGTGTGCGTGTGTGCGTGTACGTGTACGTGTTTGTGTGTGTGATATTGTTGTCGTCTACGCTGCAATTGCGGGTGATGTGTGTTGTGCATCCTTCTCAAGCCCCACCGTCATCTTTTGCTTGTTTCAGCTACACTTCCCCCACGTACACGTTGGAGAGAAATACACGCAGCAGCTCACCATCGCAAACGTCGGCAAGGTGCACTGTTATGTATTCGCTAACAGTCGCTCCCTTGCTCTTCCACCCAGATACACATCCAATGCCCTTGCAACTAACAATACAGCCACCCAACCAGCCATGCATGCATTCTCTCATTGGCGTGTTCGTGGTCCACCAACTCCCCACTCATCCATCCAATCACTACCGCGTTCAACAGGTGGTTGCGCACTTCCAGTTTGCGGCGAAGGACGGCGAGACGGAGCCCCATCCGCGCTGGATGCACGTCGACTGCGGAGCCGGCTTTGTCATGCCAGGACACAAGGTACCGCTGTGTCATTGATGTCTTTGTTGTTGTTGTTGTTGTTGTTGTTTTGGTTGTTGTTGTTGTTGTTGTTGTTGTTGTTGTTTTGGTTGTTGTTGTTGTTGTTGTTGTTGTTGTTGTTTAA